TTCTATAAAATAGTACAATTTTTTTTTCTATCTTATAGAAAATATTTTTATAAAATTTTAGAACTAAACACCGTTTATACGACAACGGCATTATCACGTGTTTTGTCGAAACTTTTGGATAAAATGGGTGAACCAAACGTCTCAACGCTCTCAAGCGCCAAACTTCCCAATCCCTATTTATTTCAAAAAACCCCCAATTTTAATTCTCCATTCCCTCGTGCACGTGAATCCCGTCACCGCCTGTGAATCTAAACACCAGTCTCCGCCGGCGCGGCGATTGCCGATGGCGCCGAGAGCACTGAACAGGAATCTGAGTTCGAGATCGAGCTCGGGTCCCGATGCCGACGCGGAGTACGAGGTGGAGGAGCTCAGGGATCGGATCGCGTCGTCACGTGGAAGCATCCAGCGATACGTCATCCATCCTGATAATAGGTAAGTGGTCGAATTAAGGATTTTTATGATGACCTTACCTCAATTTTTTTACTTTTGTTTATTTTTACCCATTTTTCTGATTTTCGCTCAATTTTGTTTTCTATGGTATTGAGTTCTTAGTTAAAGCTTAGATTTTGTCTTTATTTGTGTGAAATTGGCAGTACACAGTGACAGGAGTTATATTTTCCTCCTCTTTTTGGAAGTTGTTTGAGAGCGTCCTCTATACAAAATTAAGTTAAATATGTCACTGAACCACTTGTGTCACAAGTCTTGTGATGTTGTGCATCATACTGAATTCCATATTTTATAGTGATTTTTTTAACGTTGTGATTTTGTTGTTTACATGGATTTTCTAAACTGTTTGTTTCGATTTAAAACCGGTAAAGAGACGCACATAGTTACTGCTGGCATTGATATTAAAATTTCTCTTATTATTACCTTATTCTCTAGCGAGGTGGAACTTTCAGAAATCATCCTTTAATTATTCTCCATTGGAAAATTAATGTGTTAGGCACCGTTTAGTTCTCGGACATAAAGTAGGGAGTTTCATGGATTAGTACATGGATGCGAAAGTTTTGGTTCTTTTGGTATATCAACTACCCAGTAATACAGACGGATAGCTCTCTCTCTCTACCAGATAACCATCTCATTTGTGCTTTTTCTAATAAAAGGGAAAAATTCGAAAATTGATTGATAAGTTTCATTTCTTCGATGTGAGAGCCGCTATTGCTAAATATCTCAGGTATATATTATTAGAGGTTTGGTAGTTATGAATGAATTTGATGAACAAACTACTAATTAATGTTTTTGTTTGACCGTAAATATAAGCGAGGCCCACATCCATAACTCCATGATTAGATCAAGGGAGAACCTCTCACATGACATGCCTACTCTACCTGCATCGCAATTATTTATTGAATGGATTAGTTGTCTTTTGCTGGAAGTACTTATTTAGTTAGTAACTATTCTCCAGCTGTTGGGAAAAGGGAAAATAGTACGATACCTTGACAAATGAAGATTATTATGCTTGACAATCAAGTATATTATCTTGTTTTATGCAGTAAGCAAAACAATTGTTATACATAAGAATCTTAGTTTGAAGATTACTTGTACTTCATTTAAAATTAAAGAAATAGGAAACAGTCAACCTCAAATGCTGGACAATAAATTTTGTGTTGTTGATTTGTGATGACCTAAGAATGATAATGAGATGACAATTCAAACGTAATTTTTGTCTAATCTGGTGTGGACTTGGATTAGTGGGCTAGAAAAATATATAGATATTGTTTTAAATTTTAATGCCACTTATCTGGTAGGAACACAACCCAAATTCATAGTTTAGGTATGAACTCCAACTAGGAGGAATTTAGGTCAGGTTTGAATTTCAGGCCTCATATATTTGAAAATCTTTCTTTATATATTATGTCATAACCTCGCATAGTTATTCTACTAATAAGGGAACAACAACAGTATTGAAGCGAAAGTATCCAAAAAATTTGAACATAAAACATGTTTATTAAATATGAGTCGGGGGTTTTGTTCCTTTTTCCTTTCTTTTTCCCCAAAAAAGACTAGTTGGATTTGTAATTAGAGTTTCCTACAATCCATCACCAACTTTTACCATTTAAGCTGTGCCTCAGGAACATATAGTAGCTTTAAGCGTCCTTAAAACTCATCAGAATCAGATATAATAAGAAATATAAATTATAATTCTCAACCCTCACGATAACTTCAGAAGTCTCATTAATAGCAGGGATTATATGATAGTGTTAGATCCACTCTGGTTCAAACCTCATCATGACACAATTTAAATATTAAAAGAAATATTATGTAACCTCCGAGTTTTAGTATGGTGGCAGGTATTTCAAGCATTAATACAGATATACTATTAACAAATGAACCATATGGTTTGATCTAAATGGTCGTGAGTTTTGAACTTAATTGTTTCTAGAGCCCTGGTGTTCTCACTGTTTTTTTTGTCCCAGTTACTTGATAACTCAATGCTTTTGATCCACAATAAGATTGATGTAGCTGAGCAACTTCTAAATTTGATTTATATCTAAAATTGTACAAGCAAAACTTGTAGATTCATTTTAATTTCTTAATGGGATCGAATAAGTTGGTCATGGTGATTGTGGTAGGTGGTATCGGCTTTGGAAATACTTTATACTGGGATGGGCTATGTATTCATCCTTCTTCACACCCTTAGAGTTTGGCTTCTTTCGTGGACTTCCAGATAAACTATTCTGGCTTGACATTGCTGGTCAGATTGCATTCCTTGTGGACATAAGCATTCACTTCTTTCTTGCTTACCGAGATGAACATACCTATCGTGTAGTCTACAATCCTAAATCCATTGCTAAAAGGTCTCTCTTCTTTCTTCTTGTTGTTGCATGGCCCTTTTGTTGTTTAGTTATATTTGTTTGATGGCTTTTGGTATCTTTGTGTGTGCAGATATGTGAAGTCGGGTTTCATCATAGATTTACTTGGTTGCCTTCCATGGGATGCTATCTACAAGGTTCTCTCTCTCTCTCTCTCTCTCTCTCTCTCTCTCTCTCTCTCTCTCTCTCTCTCTCTCTCTCTCTGTGGGTGTGTGGGTGTGTGTGTGTGCGTACTTGCATGTGCGCATGCTTGTGTGGGTGTGTGACATGAGGGTGGTTGTTTGGAAATACCGAACAAGAGAACCACAAATAACACCATCTAGCAACATCCATACTTGTAGTATAAGTCTCTAATGCTCTCACTTTCCATGGTGTAGAATGGATTACCGAACAATGTAATTTCTCATGTTTCTTTTTGTCTTATGTTGTGAAACCTTTTTTGCGTTCTTCAATTCTCTAGGATTGTCTTGTTATTATTGTCATCAAGAATCGATCCACACTTTGTCCCCCTGCAGCATCTGATCTATGCTGAACAGAAGATACCATGGTTTCTCACAAAAGAGACGCAACAAACAACCCTAAGAAAAATGAGCGAATTACCTACTAAACCATCCAATACTAGAATAAAGGATAAATATTTTCAACAAAAGCCAGAAAAAGTCATAGTGTATAAATATATCACTGAAGCTCCATGTATGGAGTCAGTTATACTGGGGCTAAGTCACATAAAATTCTTGCCTCCAATCATTATTAAGTGCTACCAACTAATCTCTCAAGGTCTGATCCTTCTCTGTATCTGTAGAGACAAGGGCCTGAAGGTCGCATCTACACATAGGCTCGAGTTGTCCTCGGAAAAAAAGATACTGGTGGGAAAATCTGACATAAGAGTGGAATGATATCTCTGCCTCTGTTTCAGAAACACTATTAATTAGTTGCCCCGCAAGTCCAACAGGTATTGCTATAATCAAATCCAAAGACACCCTCTACTGGCTTTGAGGCTAACAAAACCCTGGCTTTGTGTTTTTCTTAGAACTAACGCTTTAAACACTGTGGCAGTACTAATCTATCATGATCTAACATTAGAATAGTTCAGATAGCTCGCTCGTACTTATTATATTTTGTTGGTTTCTCTGAATATGGATTTTCTTCGCTGGTTAGATAATCATGCATGCCTTAATCTCACTTGTCATAATAAGCTTGTTTAAATATCGTATACAGTATTATATCCATTTTTTCTTTGAGGGTGGTCTTGAATTGCCAATTGATTTATATCCTGCAACTTTATATGGTTCCTTCTTCAATTTTATATTTTTTATATTTATACAGTAAAGGGGATTCTCAGAATTTCTCTTGTTTCAAGTCAGGCTTGTGGATATAAAGAAGAAGTGAGATACCTGTTATGGATTCGTTTAAGCCGGGTCCGGAAAGTCACGGCTTTTTTCCATAAGATGGAAAAGGATATACGGATAAAATATTTGTTTACACGTATAGTGAAGCTCATTGCTGTTGAGCTCTACTGTACACATACGGCTGCCTGTATTTTCTACTATTTGGCGACGACTCTTCCTGAATCCCAGGAGAGCTACACATGGATAGGGAGCTTAAAGCTTGGAGATTACAGCTATTCACATTTCAGGGAAATTGATATCTCAAAGCGTTACTTGCTATCATTATATTTTGCCATAGTCACCATGACCACTGTAGGTAAATTTTATTTCACCATATTTTTACCGTTTAGATATTCTTTTATATAAATATTTTGTACTTTAGGAAATGTTATGTGTTATGTTTTAAATATTCTAGATCTGTGGCTTGTAGAAGATAATAAAAAGATAACCTTGGTTCTTTCTAGTTCTTGTTAGTTGTTAGAGCCTACATTGATTGTTGGCAAGTCTCATGCTTAAACATGGAATAAAATAAAGATCAGCTTCCATAGGGAAGTACAACGTAGAAAACCTTATTTGTATAGTTAAGTGTTAATTTCATGTGTTATTTTGAGAATTTTTTGTATATAGATTCATTGAAGCAAAATAAACTGTATGCCGCATTGTATGTGATCTTTAAATTTTCTTTCTTTTCCCCCTCTTTTTTGGAGGAATTGAACTGCCTTATCATTTCTTAATTTTGCCTCTCTGTAAGATTGCTTTGCTCTTGCTATCCACAGGTTATGGAGATATACATGCAGTCAATACCAGGGAAATGATATTCATCATGATCTATGTTTCTTTTGATATGATTCTGGGAGCGTACCTGATTGGTAACATGACAGCACTGATAGTGAAAGGATCAAGGACAGAAAGATTCAGGGATAAGATGAAGGATCTGATTCAATATATGAACAGGAACAGGCTTGGAAGAGATATAAGGGACCAGATTAAAGGACATGTACGCCTACAATATGAAAGCAACTACACAGAAGCTTCTGTTCTCCAAGATATCCCAGTATCGATTCGTGCTAAGGTGATCTTAAACCTTTCGATGATTGATATCACATGTTACATCATAGAAAAATCAAGTAAGCCAAAGTTTACAGATCAATGGTACAACCACGTGACATCTTCTGTTTTCATTTTTCCTTGTTAAAATTGTATGAATACTTTGAGGAAACTGTCATTATCAACAACATCCAATACACACTTAAACCGGTATAAATGGAGTTTGAGTTTGCTAGATCAAGACGGTGTCTTGATGACGCTCCACGTGCTCTCTATGGTGAAGTCCTCTATTGTCTTCCTGATTTAGGTCTTCCTCAATTACGAATTCGAACTCTTGTCAAATTTTCCCAAGTAAATCAAATGAAGTTAATCTAATCAGATCTAATCGTTCATAAGAACATAAGAGAACAAAATAGAATGATAACAATTTGCAAAACTGAAGAGAATTTTTTTGGTATCAGATACTATCAAGAAGATGAAGTCAGGTCTGGGAGAGGTAGAGGATGATGGATGATGGGTAAAGCAATATTAGTTAAGACACTTATTATTAAAATAGATAACTTAGTTCTCTTGAAGGGCTTTTTTGCAAATTTCTGTAACGCATCCTAAGATCTCAATTGACGGCTGGATGGCTGCCATGTCGTCATCACTCTAGCTAAGGGGCTGGTGTGTCTGGTGTGACACCAGCTCCTATTTTCCCTAATATGTGTGTGCGTGTGTGTGTGTGCGCGCACGCGCGTATTTATATATTTCAAAGGCATAATTGAAGAAGAAATCTAATACTGCTTAATGTTGAAACCGTTTGAAAGCCATAATTAACCAAGTAATTCTACTGAATCTAAAAGAGGAAGTCTTAACTTTTTATTTCTAGATGCCTACTGCTTCAGTGGATGGCATTTTCTGTTAGCTTTTTCACATGAAGTCAGCTTGACTTGTTGATGCTGTTTGCAGATTTCACAAAGCTTGTACAAACCCTACATCGAAAATGTCCCTATTTTTAAAGGATGTTCTTCAGAATTCATTCATCAGATTGTAAGTTACTTGACTGTTACTCATTGCTAAACGAACTAGTTGGTTAGTGTGTGCATTGCATGAGTTAATGAGTCATCTGACTATAGGCGATCAGGCTGCAAGAGGAGTTTTTTCTTCCTGGGGAAGTAGTCATGGAACAAGGCAATGCAGTAGATCAACTTTATTTCATCTGCGATGGTGTTCTGGTACTGTTTCAAACCTCAGTATATCTATCTTTTCATGCCTGAAAGAAACATATATTTTACTTTATATGTGCAGATATGCTTACAATACTTTATCTAACTAAATGCATGCATGTTCTAAACACTTATTTTTTAACTTGCACCTGATTAACAATTCGATTTGCTAGTGTTTTTTTCAATAAAATATTAGTCTCTTCATGAAGTGCATGTCTTAATTATTTTGGCATGATTTGTCCAATTATTTAAAAGAATTCTTAGCTTATGAGTCCTTCACAAGGAGATTTCAGGGTCCATAGGGACACAAACATTAGACAACATGTAGATGGACAAATTAAAAGTGTTAATAATAGTAAATGGATATGAGAACTACTTGAAGATTTTTGCTCACATGCTATTAGCTCATCGACTTTTCCCTCTAAAAGTTAGTACCTCAAAATTTATGTTTTTGTCTAAACAATGAAGTCACTGGTGGATACGACCAATTATCAACAAATTAGGGTAACAGTTCTTTTTCTAACAGAACGGAGGAAGAAGCACTATACAGTCAATGAGAATCAAATGCTTCATCTTTCGGATGATTTAATGTGCTGTATTTAGTGTAACCCATCTTGACATGAGCCAGGAATTTTGCCCATGCACTGGTGTTGATGAATACCAAAAATCCAGACAGCCTGCTATCTCTTATTTATTTATTTATTTATTGAGGAAAGTTTAATTTATTTTGTGTGTACATAAGTTTGTATGTTATTAAGGAAGCATTTTATATCATATACTCATAATTTGCATGATCCACATATGGGTAAACAAACTCCAGCTTCCCTGTTAATTCTATGTTTAGGAAATTCATCCATGGATAAGATATGTTATTTGTTCAGAGGTTATTTTGAATAATTAGTATAAGTATACCTCTGGCCTGCCATACAGGTATCTCTACTAATGGATCCATCGAAGTTCTCCTTTAATTGATTTCTTAGCTAATTAAGAACATGTAAAACAGAAATGAATCATTATCATTGTTCTTCACATCTGAGGCTCATCAACTTATCATTGTAGGAAGCTATTGGGATTGGTGAAGATGGAACAGAGGATACTATTGTAATGTTAGAGCCTAATTGCTCTTTTGGAGACATTTCCATCCTTTGCAACATTCCTCAGCCCTTCAGTGTACGCGTTTGTGAACTGTGCAGACTCTTAAGAATTGATAAGCATCTCCTTTCAAATGTCCTACAGATATATTTTGTGGATGGCCGGAGAGTCCTGAGGAACCTTCTCGAGGTAATTTTTATATAGAAACTTTCATTTGTAATAGTAACAAAATTAATACCTAGGTTAATGACTTGATTGTCTTGATTTTTTGCTTAATTACAGGCTAATGAATCCAATATTCGTGTCAAGCAACTTGAGTCTGATATCACACTTCATATTGGAAAACAAGAAGCTGAGCTTGCGTTACGAGTAAATAATGCTGCTTTTAATGGGGATTTGAATCACCTAAAGAGTTTGATTCGATCCGGGGCAGACCCCAGCAAGGCTGATTATGATGGACGCACTCCTTTGGTAGGCTGATAGAATACAGTTCTGAAATTTATGTGGCTGTCAGTTTAGTTATTTTTACATCAGGTTTTCTTAAGGATATAGAATTTTAATGATCTACGTATCGCCCCTTGGTACTTATCACATTGTTTTCTGCTTGTATATATAGTTCTTGGTCACCGTGATTCAACTATAGAAAATTGTATATATGTACTAACTCAAGTTTGCACCATCCAGAATCTGGGCCTTCTCTGTCATTAATAAGGCTACACACAGCATTCACCACAAAAAATTCAAGAGCCCAGTAATTTTTTTAATGGCAAATGGGAATATCAAACAATGACCCTCCTTTCTTGAGATTGTTACAGTGACCCCTTCATTCACCCCCTCAAACCTCCATTACTTTCATAGATGCTTGGATATGTGGTACTGGTATGCAATCTTTCCCCACACCAATTTACATGCATTTGATTGTGTAGCTATGTTGCATGGGTACGGGTGCGGGTGCGGACATGGACACAGGTGCGGATATGAGACACCTAATTCGTAAAATGTGGAATATGGGGACACGGCTATATGTATACTTATTGAAATTAATAACATATATGAGATCGGTATTGTTTTTTATTACATATTATGAGAACTAAAGTCCATATAACCTTTTTGTGTTTCTTTTATTAAGTAGATTATAAATTGAAAAACTACTCACTTTTGGACTAGATATCCAAATCATTGGTTAAAATCATACTTTTGAATATGACATGGGCTGAAATTAACCTGACAATAGTCCAAGAAGTTGCAGAAAGTTGATGTGAAGTGTAAGATATATGTCCAAGAATTGTACCACGAGTGTTTTAAACTAAAACTTGAATTGTATAATTGGGCATATGTCTACATAAATGTATGTATATACTCAAGAAGTGTCCAAGGAGTGTCCGACACGGACACGGACATGGATAAGGGAGCCAAGATGAAGTGTTCGGGTAACCTAGCTGTGTAGCCATCTTAGCATGCAAACTTTCCAAATATTTGATTTCCTTTTTTTTAGCTTTCATGCTCAGTAGTTCTTTGCCCAAACTTAACATGATATTGTCATTTATCACTCATCAGTAGGCATGTCTTGTTACAATTTTTTCATCTTGAGGTCTCATGAGAAGGGCTCATATCCAAGCACAAGTATGCCGGAACCAAGCTTGAAAGTAGCCATACTTACCTTAAGGACTGTTGTTTGTACAAGTTATAATAGATAATCCTCATTACAATATACTTAAGTGTATCATTTATATTCAAAAAACTCCCAAAAAAGTGCTTCTTCAATATCCTTTTAAAAAGAATTTTTTTAGAAACATTAAATATCAAAAAGATTAAAAAATTCTGAGAAAAATATATAGTTATAAAATTTTACATAATGAAGATGTACTTAAGGCCCCAACCTTCCAAGCAACTTTTCCTCAACTCTTAAGAACAGTAAAGGCTTCAGACCCTTCAGCAATCCTGGCTCATCTACTTACAGCCTATTTTGATGTTAGTAGTTTCTACCTCACTAAATTCGCAATTTTCCATTTCAGCACCTTGCTGCATCAGGAGGGTACGAAGATATCGTTTTATTTCTTATTCAAGAAGGTGTTAGCATGAATGTTTCAGGTACCTTTATCGTGGTACTTATTTTGCTTCTCCTTGAACCACAAAGTTCTTTTCATATTACATAATGATACCTATGCGCCATGTTAAAAATTTTCAATCTCATCATAAATGTTCTTATGTTCATGTTTGTATTAATATATGTGAATCTCTACTAGATAAATTTGGGAACACAGCACTGTTGGAGGCTGTAAAGAATGGAAATGACAAAGTGGCTGCCTTACTCTTCAAAAATGGAGCAAATTTAAACATTATTGATGCTGGCAGCAAACTTTGTGCTGCCGTTGCAAGGGGAGACTCAGATTTTCTAAGGAGAGTTTTATCTTATGGTATTGATCCAAACTCAAAAGACTATGATCATCGGACACCGCTTCATATAGCTGCTGCAGAGGGAATATTTTTGATTGTGAAAATTCTTCTAGAGAATGGAGCAAGTGTTTTTGCTGAAGACAGGTAAGATATCCAACTCCCGCAATTGCATATGTAGTATTGCTAACTGCTTCAGTCCGTATATAGGTTGTATGAGAAAGTTCTTGAAGGAACGAAAAAGGAAATGTCTTTATGGTTGTATTTAGAAGAAGAGATAACAAAACGATGTGCAGATAAGGTTATCTTTAGCTTTAGCTTCAACTAAGCTTGATCGGAACAAGTTGGTACAACCTCATTTTTATCAGTAAATGGTTCTAAGTTTATTGCGAAAAGCAAATCTATTAGCAAGGAACTGTAGCTCAGTACAACAAACGTAATTTGTTTTTGTGATGAAGCTTCGATTAACAAGGTCATGAGAAAGGAAGATAAGCTCAAGCATGTTCCTTACTGTAACAATATAAAATCTATGCTATTAATATGTAACATACATTTGTCTATATAAATTAAATAATTAAACTTGCACCTATTTCTCACCTTTAAAAGTTTATCTTGTGCTTCCTTTCAATGAAATGTCTGGATTTCTTCTGGAAGAATGATAAGGAAGCGCATTCTCTTAAATTTCATTTTTGTTCCTTACTACTTAACAGGTCCCTATATAAGACTTCTTAAATATGGCTCCTCTAACCATTATACCAAAACTCCGAAGTTATGGTGATGGTCGAGAATTACAGTTTTATATTAATTTTAACATGCCCTTGCAGGTTGAACGTCCTTTTTTATGAGTTAAAACTTGGACTCATGCAGCGATGTCAATTTTTAGAAAATCCACTTAAACTTTGTGGTCGGTGGGATTTGAGCCTGGGTTGCTCTGATGCCATATTAAATTTAGCTCCTCTAACCATTACACCAAAACTCCAAAGTTATGGTGATGGTCGAAATTTATAGTTTTATATTAATTTTAACAAGACCTATTTAGTATTAACTACAATTGACACAGACATTAGAATGCTTGTTAAGAAAAAGAGGCAGAAACTAAGGGCCTAAGGGCTAGTTTGTATTGCATTTTTCAGGGTGCTGCTTACTTTTTAGGAAGCAACCAATTGTGGTGTTTGCTAAATTTTTTTATGTGCTTATTGAAATTAATCCCCCTTCTAAGAGGGTGCTTTTAGAAGCAACCTGAAGATGCTTTTAATTTTTTTTTTATTTTTTGTAATTTATATGCCATATATATACCATGTTAGAACTAATATAAAAGTATAACGCTCAACTCTCACCATAATTTTAGAGTTTTGGTGTAATGGTTAGAGGGACTTAATTTAAAATGGTATTTGAGCAACCAAAATTCAAATTCTATTAGCTGTGGAGGCATGTTAGAATTTACATAAATTACCTCAACTCTTACCATAACTTCGGAGTTTTTGGTCTAATGGTTAGAGGGACTTAATTTAGGATACCCTTTATGTTTTAACATTTTTACACTACAAGTAAACATGAAGCTAAATTTGTGTTTTTTAGTCATTATCACTTATAATGGCCTTTAAGCATAGTTTGACCGATCACTTTACTATATTTGAAAGAAATTTTTGATATATGATTTACTAGGGGGGTTATTGGTTGGGACATTTTGGGGGATAATGGGATAATTTTGGGGATTCTATTTCATGTTATTCATTGGGACAATGAAACAAGGATAATACCTTTTTGTGTTATTAGTTTTTTGGAACACTAGTGAGACAATTACACCACTTGGGATAAGATTACCTCACTCATATACAAAAATTACCCCAATAGTAAAAATTTACCCCATCCTCCATATTGGAACTATATTGTTCCACTTTGAAGGCAATTGAGATAATTTTAAAATATTTTTGTATTACTTAACTAATACATGCTAAATTAATATTATAAATATATGAATTATGATATGATAATATAAAATATAACTATATTAACAATATTATATAATAGTAATTATAGTATAACATATTTATTAATATTAATGTAATATATTATTATATATATTAATTAGTAATTATAGTATGACGTATTTATTATAATATTTATATAATATTTTAATAACATATATTAAATTTTTAATAATATGATATTAATAATATTATGATAATAAGATTATATTAATTATTTTAATAACATATATATAATATTTTAATAACATATATTATTAATTAATATATTATTATAGAATTAATTTACAAAATATATATTATAAGTTATTATATATATGACATACTTTATAATCCTAATATAATAGTTACTAATATTAGCTAAAATATTATGATATAATACTAATATATATTTAAGTTTTGAAAAATAAATAAATATATTATACGTATATACATGATACTTTTAATATATATTATTGTAAATTTTATTTTTTACATCTATATATATATATATATATATATATATTTAATTTTAATTTTAATATAATATTTTAAAAAATATTTACATTGAATAAAGTAAATATTATAATTTTTTTAAAGTACATTTATATCCTTAATGATACTATATTTATAATATTATTAAATTAAATAATATATTATTAAAGTACTTATATTAAATATATTATTCATATATTATATCAATTATTATATAATGTAGCATACTAATATAATGTTAATTAGTAATTATTGTATAACATATTATATTTTGTAATAAATAAAATAATGTATTATATTAAATATATAATTATTAAAATATTATATTAAAATATATGATATTATATTATATTAATTTATTATATATAGATTAGTATGCTAATATAATATAAATAAATAATTAGTAATAGTAAGTTGTAAGTATAGTACAATATATATTATATTTTAATATAAAGTAAAATAATATTTATATTATAATAATATACTAAATAATATTAAAACGGCAATTGGATAATAATTTTAGAAGTAATTAATAGATAAAATTATATTTTAATAAGCGTGGCCGACATCAAATCTATTATTCCCATATGAATTGTCAAATCAAAGGCTCATATTATCCCATTATCCCACTTTATCCCACTTTACCCCACTTAAAATATCACAAAGGGGTAAAATTGTTCCATTGGAATAATTTTTCTACTTGGTCCCAATTTGTCCCAACCAATAACCCCCCTTAAATGACTATTTTCAACAGTTTATATAAGTTGTTTCTACAAGTGACTTATATAAGCAACATATTATCAGCTTCAGAAATACCAAATTGACCTTAAATCACCATGCAAATTTGAATTTATCCTACCACTTTATTCTTCTATCTAATCTAAGTTGAGTCTAGAATAAATTGTCGTGAACTGATTGTTGCAAAAAAAATTACAGATGGGGAACTACACCATTAGATGAAGCACGAAAAAGCGGGAGCATACCCTTGATGAAGCTAATGGAAGAAGCTAAATCTGAAGAGCTGTCCAAGTTCCCTAGACAACGAGATCAAGAAATACAAGGTATACTTGATACAAATTATTTGTCATTTATGAAGAATTTTCAACTTAATTATTAGTCTAAACATCAATATTCCCATATTGTAATTATGTCCAGTAGTTACCGAGTTCAATTCTTTAAGATGTCAGAAGGAAAGAAAATCTTTCATCAACTTTTAACTGCTAATGAAGAAAATGCAAAGAATTATTATTATCAACTAAAACTTTCAACAGTTATCTAACAAATGCTCATATGCTTGGCCTATGTTATCTCCAAAGCTACACTGTTATCCACCTAAATACTGTTACACACTGTTAGAGGAGAGAGAGAGGTTAGTTTTCCTGCACAAGTGTATCACATTGAAAGTTAAGTGACAAATTTCTGGCGTCTTAAGCAGTTTCAACTGTAGTCTTTTCATAACTCATTAGTCATTTGATAAACTATATTTTGCGGTCTTATGCGAACTTTTTGTAAACTTCAGGGTGATGTTCTACAACTGTACACGAGAAAATTTAGTAGCTATATCTTCTAATTGCTACTGTTTTTGACCAACAGATAAAATGCATCCACGGAAATGCACAGTATTCCCCTTTCACCCTTGGAACCCTGAAGAAAAGAAAAGAGAAGGCATTGTTCTATGGGTTCCACCAACAATAGAGGAGCTAATTCAATCTGCTCAAGAGAAGCTCAAGTGCATTGGCACATCCATTCTTTCAGCAGATGGAGGAAAGATACTTGATGTAGACTTGATTTCCGACAATCAGAAACTTTATCTGGTTACTTTCAGCAGATGGAGGAAAGATACTTGATGTAGACTTGATTTCCGACAATCAGAAACTTTATCTGGTTACTGAACAAGAAACCACAACATAAGTTACATGTAGACTTGATTTCCGACAATCAGAAACTTTATCTGGTTACTGAACAAGAAACCACAACATAAGTTACAGGAATGATTCTATTCGTCTATATCCCTTTGATCTCAAAATACGTCTTTTTGAGGACAAAAGGTCCTTAACCATATGATTATCGGAAAAGAAAGAATACAGAGGATGTTTATATATGGCATATCTTAATATTTAGAGATACACAAGAAAACCAAAATTCAGCAAGTCTTGTTGAATATGTATAATTTTTGTTGGAACAGTGGTTTGTACATTGAAGTCGATCTCAACATACATGTAGCTAGGGAGAATGTATTTTCCCTTGTAAGAAAAGCATGTACATTGTATATAAACATCATGAGTGGAAATGAAATTAAAGGTATTGTTGGCATTATAGTATCACAGAAGTATGGCAGTGTAAACAAGAACTACAATACATGGCTTTGAATATGGTTGTCTCTCAAGTCCTAGGGAAAGTGCTCCATCACGCTATCACATTACCTGTAGAGATCTTCATGTCAAGTTTTTTGGGGGAATCTTTCAAAATAGATGAGATTAGGAGCACCAACATCTTCCAAGTTTTTGCAATCGCTATTAGGTTCCCCAGTTACTAATGGGGTGTTAGTCAGCCAGAACACTTTTCATAGAAGTGGAACAAATTTTATTATATGATGATATTTTAATGTGAGATATTTTTATAGGATAATTAGGAGTAACTTTATAAAACATGATATTTTAGTGGGACAATTGTTAGTATAATTAAGGATAATTTTCAAAATTCAATAATCATATAAATCATGTATTTTGATGATAAGACTACTATTTATACATTTTAAAACTTATTATTATTATTTATTTACTTTAGTGTTAATTAACCTTGAAGAACTATTAGATAGACTATAATATATTATTATTATTATTATTTGTAACTTTTTGATTTTTTGGAATTATTATTGTAATATAAATTTAAAAACATAGTTTTTTTTTCCTTTTTTCGCTTTCTTTTTCATTCTACCAGACAACATTCCATTATCTCTCAATTTTAATTAATTTTTAATAAAATATGAATATTTTAAATTTTAAATTTAAATTAATTATACAATTAAAATTTTTAATAAAAAATAAAAAATAACATTAAATAGAAGGGAATAGTAAGAAGTGATGTGATCTAATTTTATGATGTGGTTTGTAGATGATGGAGAAATAAAATATGAAAAATAAAAAAGTAAATAAAAGAATTCTAGTTTTTTATCGTGTAGTTCTCACTTAAAACTTGGAACAATTTGAGAGACTAGAATTCTCTCTTTTCTATATAAATTTGATAAAAGTGGGATAAATTTTTATAATTATCCCAGTTTTACTTTTTATCCAATTCTTATTGACTAACACTATATAATTTTATCCTAGTTCTAGTTCAAATGGACTAACACTATAAAAAATTGTCCCACAAATTATCCTAGTTCTAATTTTGAGTTCTACTTGACTAACCCCACCTAATTATTTTGAAATTAGCGTATCAAGTCATTGAAATTGCTATCAGGGCCACCAACTTTGTATAAGTTGCTTCAAATTAGTCACTCTAATTGCTGAGGGAATAGTTATGAAATAACGTAAGAATTAGGGGACCTAATAACAATTTTAATGATCTTATGGACTACTTTCAAAATATTAAACATATAAGGGACTAATATCAAAAACCCCTTATTTCCATACTTATTTGTTTAATTACTAGTTTTTATGCACGTGGTTAAATATCAAAAAAAATATTGTTTTATATTTATTTCATTACTTTAAATAAGTAAGATTTATCTTAAGTTCAAATATGTATTATTGAATTATAAGATTTATTAGTATTTTATTTAAATATTAAAAAAAATAAATGTAAAGGAATTTAAGCTAAACTTGGATGAATATACGTATCTGGCATATTGTAATTGTTATTATGAATTTTAGTTATAGTAATGTAGAAAATATTTTAAAAATTTAAGTTATTTCAAATATTTTTTGACTTAAAAAGCTAAGATCATTGTTGTTTGATTTACTGCGAACTTGTAAAATTATTTTTGTTCTAAAATTTTTTAATTGATCACTACCACCAACACTTAACAGGAACTTAATTAAAGTATGAAAGTAAATCTTGATCAATTTGGTCCCTTATTCAATATGGAACAATCTCAACAAGTAATAATTAGTAAGCCAAGGTTTTTTGAAACAATGAATATTGAGGTTTGTGACAATCCCAAGCAAATTCATCACAAAGTAATTCTTTGCCAATTGGTTAAAGAGGTCACCTTTATATCATAAATGATTGATCACATGATGCGTTATCCATAGAACAATAATAAAATATAGCAACTGTTCTTCAGTTCAACTCTCCACAAGGCCGTGCATCATATGTTTTTTAGCCAATTCATAGAGGATCGGTGTTTCGGTCTGGAATTTCTGTAGATACATATTTATCATACTGATCTGATGATGTGATCTTGTGATCTCCAATAAGAATTATTAATATATGTGCATGTGGTAGCCTTCTTTTTTGAAACTCAATCACATGAACATGTGCTAAAACTTTCCCAAAGATCCCCTTCTTAAATAGTTGATCTTTCAAGTCTTGGAGCTTTGCTCGAAATATCCTTGAGGTTAGGTCTGGCCTGTCATTATGGCTTTGGCCTGGATGTAGTTGCTCAATGATCTCTTCACATTCTGGATTACATGTCATTGTTATAAAAAGATCTGGCTTTTCAAATCGTTGTACTAATGACATTGCATCAAGGTATTTGCGACGCATGTCTCTAGGACCACCTATGAATGATGATGGAAGAACTATTCTTTTGCCCACTTGGCTTGCATTTGCTTCGCCGACAGCCACACTGTCGACAATGCCTTGGAATAACTCTGCTTTGATTTCTGATTGTTTATTTCTAAAGTAATCAACCCTTGTTGTTTCAAGCTTTATGTACATATCAACAACATATTGATGGAATAAAAGACCTGCTGATGTAAGTATAAAAGATTGTCGAGTGTCTCTTATCTGGAGCTTATGATAATAATAATCTCGGCATGAAACTTTTTCGGGTTTTGGTGCCTTGACGCCTGTAAATTTAGGTGTTAATCTATATTCATATATAATAACATTACTTAGAATGGGTTTCCTTGTAATATATCCATCAAGCTCTTAGTTGTGATTTCACTCATATTTGCATTGTGTAGAATTCTCAATCGATTTTGCAACTCATTCTCTGTATCATAGAAGTAAAGCTGAAAGTATGAAGGCTTATTTTCCTTTGGAATTAGAGCTAGGAGATTATGATATATTTGTCCTTGTGCTCTAAATGTGAAAACTCATTTTCTATTTGATGCGAGCTCTTTATCAAATCTTGCCCAAACGATGTGAATGAGAAAATATTGTTGTACATTCTGGTGTGGCTTCGGAACTCAATTGTCTCTGGTGTTTGCATTGTATAAAGGGCAAATATATCTCTCTCTCAAATGGTGCATTGTCATTATTTCCTTCAACCCAGATTGCAGCCACCTGATCTGCTGTTAGTGAGTTGTAAACACGTTAATCTAGTGCAACATTACTATTTATTAGTATCTTTAATTCTTTAAAAGATTGATAATCATTCAATTTGCGAAGGAACTTTGCATATGGGTTTTCTTGTAATATATCCATCAAGCTCTTAGTTGTGATTTCACTCATATTTGCATTGTGTAGAATTCTCAATCGATTTTGCAACCCATTCTCTGTATCATAGAAGTAAAGCTGAAAGTATGAAGGCTTATTTTCCTTTGGAATTAGAGCTAGGAGATTATGATATATTTGTCCTTGTGCTCTAAATGTGAAAACTCATTTTCTATTTGATGCGAGCTCTTTATCAAATCTTGCCCAAACGATGTGAATGAGAAAATATTGTTGTACATTCTGGTGTGGCTTCGGAACTCAATTGTCTCTGGTGTTTGCATTGTATAAAGGGCAAATAATTCATTTAGAATATTCACATCTGCTAGGTGGATTTCACCGTTGTGACAACAAAATGTTGGAGGCTCATGTTCAAACTTTTTGGATCCACAATATGCACAAGACTTTGGAGTGCGTAGCTTATATAGTAAAGAACATACCGGTTCATGAAGAATTTGCCCTAGAACAAATATAAATATTTAATAAACTAATATATAATGTTATATGGCTCTTTCAATAAACTATAAAGTATATGTACACCAAACTTCATGCTCATAGGCCAGTAGAAGGGCTCCACAAAATAGGTCAACTTTACGTTGTCGTTTGCCATTAATAGTATTACCAGAAGAGTCATTACTGTGTCGCTTTCTCTTATTATCCGCAATTCTTTGAATGTAAGATTTCTTTTGCTCATCACTCAACCGAGAATATTTAGGCTTTTTAATTCTGGGTATTGGAGTGTTCTCTTCTGTTTAAAAAAATGTTCATGTAGTATTATAAATACATACACATATACTAATATAATAATATATGAATAATTCATTATTGAGTTTAATGCAAACATTAGCTTGAAGCCATTTTAGGCGAGAAAGTGTTGTATAGTAGTTATGATATCCAAAAACCAGAGAATAAATTTCTACAAAGGAAAATCATATGTCATATTACTATTAATTTATGAATATATATGAGCAATGCAGATAGTTGGACAAATTAGTGAAAATTTTCATAAAAATTCAAAAATAAACAATCAACTATAATCATTATCACAATAATAATAAAAATTATTGATATTCTAGACTAACCTGATACTCGTAATTATGGAATAAATCTTGAGTACAGAATTGGAATTACTTAAAAGTAGATACTCGTAATTATTGGTTACATATCATTATAATGATATGTAACCAGGTGATTGAATTTCAAAAACAATCATGAGTATGAATATATTGTAATCTACACAAAAACAGAAATTAATTAAAAGCATGGAAAGAAAAAAAAGAAAAAAAAGAAACAGATGAAAGGTATCTGTTTTCTATTACCTCGATAGATGAGAGAACATGCAACAATCAAATCTTGAATCCTCTAAGTTCTGCATGAAAATTGAAGAAATTTCACCATTAAATCAAATACACAATATTTATAAAGAATAATCATGAAAATAAAAAATAAACATGCATGTTGAAGGAGATGAAGTTATTATGAAAATTATGTAATTTTTTGGTTTATATATAGGCATGAGGTATTGCATGTGATAGAATAATAGTCATAATTAGAGTTTTATTAGGATTTGAATTTTGTTATTGGTGTTTCAAAATATCAACCGCACTACCAAAAATGAAGCAATAGTGCATGGATATGTATATGGAATTTTAAGGGCAGGCATGATCTGAATGCTATCATGTACATTAACACAATGGTATCACCGTGTACTCCAGCAAGTCACTTCTTGGTGGACTAATGTAAAGTTAATTTGATGTGTGGGAAAATTCCACAATAGTTTTATTTTAATAGAATCCTTTGACTTGACAATGTCCAACGTGATCAAGAAGTGTAACTGTCAAAACCTTTAAAAAAACTGGTTAATTATTTCTTAGAGGAACTCATATGGAAATCACCAAAAGAATCGAGTCAGCATCAGCCTTACCAAAGATGATTACTTTCTTACTAAGATTACTACTAAATACATCATGTCTCCTCATCAAATGGGATAACTTTACGCTTATGCTAAGTGCAGAAAATATAAATTGTTATTATGTGTTCTATATATTGATAAGAAGATCCACCTTATTCTGATTAATGGTAAAAAAAAATTGAACAGTCACCCTAAACATTCAAAAAGATTAACAGTTGATGGATAAACCCAGAAGGGAAATATATCGACACCAGAAGATGATATGCATCTTCTTCCCCATGCTTAAAAAAAATATCAATTTCCATAAAAATTAATTGCAGCATAAAACAAATATCACCATTAAATTAAATACACAATATATTTAAAGAATAATCATGAAAATAAAAAAACCATACATGTTGAAGGAGATGGAGAGTTACTATGAAAATTGTGTAATTTCTTAGTTTATATATAGGCATGATGTATTATATGTGATAGGATAATAGTTATAATTAGAATTTTATTAGGATTTGATCATAATTAGAATATTTAATCAATAATAGTTCTGATAATAGTTCTGATAATCTGTTAATCTAAATTGTTATTATAATAATATGTACGGATAATTTAATTAATTTAAGATAGTTCATGCAATGCACGTAACTATTATAGAATATTTTCTCAAACATGAGTTATGAATATTTTCTGTTATGAAGCAACAGTGCATTAGATTATTTAAATAAAGTAAATAACTATTAGATTATTTAAATAATTTTAAAGTGTTATGATAAGATAAAGTCTGCCAATTAAATTAAATTTAAAAATTAGAAATTGATTATAGATAGGGTAGTTCAAACTTTATAGGGGTATATTTGTCTAAAAAAGATTTTTCCTAACTCGTGCTTTTAAAGGGACTCATATGGAAATCACCAAGAGAGTAGCAATACTATTGTTATATATATCCACAGGACCAGAGATATCTCGAAAATGAACGAAGAAAACCACACAAAGAAAAACCATATTAATTACCCCCAGACACCACTGTTTTCAAAACCACAATTTTCCATCTCTATCTATAATATATCCACATACCCAAATTATGTTGTTGGAGTTTTTCCCTCTCAAACTACACCATTGATCAACTCTTCTTTTTTCTTTGCACTTAAATTGTATAGCATTCATTGCGATGAGGACTTACCTGGGTTCTATGTCTACCTTGAACATCCAATAAAAATAATAATGTACTAGACCTTGTAGTTAGTTAATAATGAGATTTTGTCATTATAAACAAATTAAGGTAAAGATTAATAATTCTTAAGAGTGTATTACGTTCCCCTATCTTCCACTGCAAAGTTGTTAGTGTTTATTCTGGCCCAAGAGATCCAATAGATTTTTAAAATTAATCTTGAGGGTTGCTTGCATTAAAAAAGTTATGTTAGAGGGCTCAAATAGTCTGTTTTATAGTTTAAGATTGTCAACATATTCTGTCTCTGATGCATATCAATTATGAGTAATAATATAATTTAATTGATTCAAGTATATCCTAATATATTTCTAGACTCTTGTCTTGTCCTTTTCTCTTTATTATATACTAACATGATATCACAATTAATGTAGACAATGAATACACTACTATAAAATTACCCATGAAAAAGATAAAGGTGGAGAAAGATTGATCTCAGTTTAATTAAATATGAATAAAGAATGAATAAATGATAATATTTTTAAATATTTTATAGTAAAACTTAATTTTTTGAGTAAAATTAGTATCCTTTAGAAGGGATTTTCATGCAAAATTTTTAATACGCTTATGTGAATGATTTTGTCATATAAAATTATACTAGAGTCACCATTAATCTTTAGTATTTATTTTTTATTTTAAGTTTATCAATAATTAAGATGTCTTCTAGTCTTGTGAAAAGTATGTGCTCTGTGCTGAGCTTATACAAGTCATCTTAATATTAAGCATTTAGTTATATTTTTATTAACACATCAATAATATATTATTGTATTTTTTTCAAACTTATCATTATATTTAATGACTAGGATAAACAAATTGGACATCGATGATTTAATCCGATAAACAAATATGTTACATGAAGTTTGATATATACAAATTTAAATAAATAATATTGTGTATGCAAGTATATAAAAGTATAGTGATCCTAGTGAAAATTGAATAATTTTGAAAAAAATATCAATTTCCATAAAAATTAATTGCAGCATAAAACAAATATCACCATTAAATTAAATACACAATATATTTAAAGAATAATCATGAAAATAAAAAAACCATACATGTTGAAGGAGATGGAGAGTTACTATGAAAATTGTGTAATTTCTTAGTTTATATATAGGCATGATGTATTATATGTGATAGGATAATAGTTATAATTAGAATTTTATTAGGATTTGATCATAATTAGAATATTTAATCAATAATAGTTCTGATAATAGTTCTGATAATCTGTTAATCTAAATTGTTATTATAATAATATGTACGGATAATTTAATTAATTTAAGATAGTTCATGCAATGCACGTAACTATTATAGAATATTTTCTCAAACATGAGTTATGAATATTTTCTGTTATGAAGCAACAGTGCATTAGATTATTTAAATAAAGTAAATAAAGTCTGCTTTATTTAAATAATTTTAAAATGTTATGATAAGATAAAGTCTGCCAATTAAATGTTATGATAAGATAAAGTCTGCCAATTAAAATGCACTGTTATTTTTAATCTATTAGATTATTTAAATAATTTTAAAGTGTTATGATAAGATAAAGTCTGCCAATTAAATTAAATTTAAAAATTAGAAATTGATTATAGATAGGGTAGTTCAAACTTTATAGGGGTATATTTGTCTAAAAAAGATTTTTCCTAACTCGTGCTTTTAAAGGGAGTATGATAATTAATATCTTTCATTTAGATTTTCAAATATTGTCACTTTTCTTGCTATTTTTAGGAGGGAATTTGTTGCTCTGGTTAATTTTCACCCGAGACTCGGCCCATATATTTAGTTCCAAATCCGGGCCGAAAGGCGTCTAGGCTGTTAACATCCATTACGGGCCCATTTCCATCCCCAAAACCCTTTTTGTCTCGATCCCCCGATCCCCTGCTCGCAAAACCCTGCTCCTCCTTTCTCCCTCGCCGGCGGTTCTCAAACTTCGCCTCCACCGGCGCCAAACTCACCGCTCCCTTCGCCGGCAACGTCGTCCTTAGCCTCCTCAAATACTCAGCAACTTGCTCCTCGATAGTAGCGATTGAAGGTTCAGTTATTAGGAAGAGCATAGACAAGGAAAGGTGCGCATCTCGATTTGCTTTTTTGCCCCTCTTGTGTTATTTTCTTACCAAAGTTCAATTTTTTTTTTTAATTTGGGGAAAGTTAGGAACATAGTTTTAGTGGCGAAATAACGTCAATTTAAAAACTTTGGGGCATTATGTTGTCAAAAATAAAACTTCAGGGTATCAGAGTTAAAATAGAATGAAATATTGGTTGTATTCAAGTCAAACAAGCCTCTTCTTTTTTTTAAAGATTGGAACTTTCCCTTAACTTCCCTTCACCCCCTACGAATCCAAGCAGGCCCTTAAGGAATTCTGTTAGAGGAAATTTTTTGTTTATAACCCTGCTCTCTGTCATTTTCATAGTAACTCTTTGTTTGCTTAGTCGTGATTCGTGATATCTTGGTTCTATGCTTCATTCCTCTCTCATTGATAAAAAATGAAATACTGCAGTTAGCTATCCTCTTAAATTATGCCAAATTTTCTATTAAAATTCAGTTTTTTCCTCTAAATATTATTAATATTTGAGTTGCAACATGCATACAATGGCATACATTTTACCTTGCGATATAGACATTTAGAAGATAGATAAAATGTTTAAGATAGCTCCGTTTTCTTTGCTATCATCTTTTCCCTCTGTTTGTCATACTAGAACCCCAAAGTGTGCTTTATTTATATATTGTACACCTTCAGGTCTTCATATTTCTAAATTAGACTCCCAAATCTCCTAAGCGATTCAAGAAACACCCCTGGGTCAGATTTAGCTTTTGACTGTAGTTACTCAAATTTTTATTGTTACCATCAGTGTAAATTTTTCTTTGGAAGAAAAGAGAGAAATTGGACCTTGGGAAAATGAAAAAAAGGAGAGATAGATTGGGAAAGATGAGGGACATGAGAGCAATTGGGATGAGCAAGAGAGATAGAGCTGGGGAAAAACCTAACTAATAAGGGTGTTAATGTAATTTAACCAAGATGGTTATGAGTTAACCATACTATGGTAGGACAAAATCCGTCAGGGGTATTTTTTTTTAAAGCAACTTATTTGGCGGGTCTAATTTGGAAGTATGAAGATTTGACAGTCTGATATACAATTAAAGAAGATTTGGGGGTCTAAATATGACAGAAACCTTTACTTTTGTTATAGCATGTGCATGAAGTGTCATTGAGAATAGGTATCTTGTAAAAGAGTTGGGAGGAGAATTCATCTTAGGCACACGAAAAAATCGGCGGTGCATGTTTTTATTTTATTATTATCGTTCCTTCCCTTTTCCTCCTTTTGATTTGATAGAGAGGAAGAGGTTTGGAGAAATGGAGGTGCTATTGAGAAACTTACAACACCAATTTAGTCTTATTCAAATAATAGGAAAACTCAACCCCCAACCCCACCCCAAAAAAAATGGGGAAAAACAACTTTTTAGACTTAGTGGAGCACAAAAAGATTAATTTCATATCTTGCTTAATAAAGACATATGCACCTTCTCCACCTTCACCCTAAAATGGAAAAAAGATAAGAAAACTCATGCATTCTTCTGCTTTCCTCATCAGATATAAATATAAATAAAAGCTTTCACGTGTATTTCGCATGCTCAAAGAATCTGTTCTACTAGAAAACGTAAAAAGAAAGCTTATAGTGAGTTATTTTGAAGGTATAGCTCCTTTTTCTTGTGCCTGGCCCTAAACTATGTGCGAACAAAGTCAGTAAATCCTGTAGGGTTTAATAGCCTCTGTTAATTGTTTACCTACTTTCTTTCAGCTTCTGATAGTGCCACTAATGGAGGTTAAGAGAGAGTTCATTGGATCAGGATGCAATCGGATTGTCAACAACGTCTCATGGGGCCCATCTGGGTTGGTTTCCTTTGGTGCTCAGAATGCAGTTGCCATCTTCTGCCCTCAGGTTTTCCTTTTGCAAAGAATGTTGTGTAATTTTTCTTGTTTTAATCTTTTCTTAGTAAACATTTTTTTTTGTTTGATTTTGTGCAGAGAGCTCAAATTCTAACCACTCTTCCAGGCCACAAAGCCATTGTTAACTGTACTCAGTGGCTTCCAACTTGCAAATATGCATTCAGAGGTTGTCCTTTAGAGCTGCTAATTTGTTTCAATTTTGTCAAGAAGTTGGAAAAAGAATATGTTACTGATTCTTTAGTGTTTAATGCACATGTATACTGTTATGGGGATTTCTTTCCTCCAAAATTTGCCTTGTCACTAGTGATATTGCCCCTACAAAAAATTTCAGTATTTTTTAAATAATTTTCACCCTTCTTGTTTAATTTTCCTTTAGTCGTTATAACTAATGTTATTATCCTCTTCTACATGTATGTGACAGCTCAACAGCAAGACAAGCATTATCTACTCTCAGGGAGCGCTGATGGTGTCATCATGGTGTGGGCATTGAATATCAAAGAGGAAAAGGTATCATCTCTTATTAACAAAATTAGCCAATTGTCGTTTGTAATTTTAGGTTACGGAAGATGCCATAGTGGAACATGATCCAGTTTTATGATTTAGCTACCTTGGAGTTTAATGTAATTTTGCTTTTGTTTCCTTTCTTTATCTAGGACACAGTAGATGTGTACTTGTAGGGGAATTTGGAGGATTGGTACTTGATTGCATGGGCTTCCAACTGACTGGTTAGATAGCTTTCTTTTCCTCCAAATGATTCTCCAAGTGGTGAACTGTAGTTATTATTTATTTATTTCGGGCATGTCTTTGGATATGCTTAATCCAATACTGATAAAACAATGCAAGATAGTGCTATGGTAAGATTATTATGGAAATAAATATGTTAATATAGTAGAGAAAATTGAAGATGGCAAGTGTTGAGAGATTTCACTTTATGAGGGCATGTCTTACGCTGATACACTAAGATCTTTACTTCTATGGAGTGTGCTTCACACTCATTACTTCGATGGAGTGTGCTTCACAATTACGAAGATTGTCCCTGATAGAACTGGTTATGAGGCAAGGCTCTATCTCTATGGACACAAATACGAATAAGAATGTTGTGCCCCATGGTATTTTTGAACAATATAACATTTCCATAGGTTTTTCTTTTTGAAATCCTACAATAGATGCTATAGAATTACATATGTGGATAGCATCTTTAAGAAACTAGCTTATTTTAGGAAAATGGGCTGCATAACCATTCAAACTAATAATGGTTATAATTGGAAGCATGTGTTCTATGTATGCGGCCAACTGATATGCCACAGTTCCTTAGACAAGATGAATGGATAGATCGATTTATGGTCTCTTTCTGCTGAAGCTTCAGTTATTCACATGATTGTGCTAATGGTTCATCGAAGAGGCGAAGTTTTGTAGATCGACCTATGTTCTGTGACTGGTTCTATTAGCTCTAGCAATTCCTAAAATGAATTAGAGCACTAGCGATTCAGGTTATAGGCCCATGGTATGGATATCCAGAATTGTTGTTAGGTTGTAATTTTTATGTCTTATTTTCCTTTTCTCACTTTTTTGGTGGTGGTTTTATTTTCTATTCAGAGGACTTCCTTTCAAGATTTTCCATGGGTGCGATCTTAAGAAAGTTTTCTTTTGTTGGTAATTGCAACTGATTTATATATGAGCAAGGGGAATATCTTTTTAGAACCAAAACCTGATCCGAATGAGGAATAGAATATGAGGTTGGCTGGTTGGTAACAACATTTGGACCTGTTAGTTAGTGAACTTCTTAGATTTTTTGGCTATAAAATGGCTAGGTGATGAAGATTGTCGCAAGTCTACTGAATGGAAAATCACTTCAGTTTGTTATAGGTTGCTGGCTAATTGTCCTCGCTTAATTTTTTTTTCCTTTCACTTTTTACTAGCTCCCTCTGAGAAAACCAAAGAAAATAAACTTGATTGAGATTGACGCGTTGTCAACAAAGAGTTAGTTCTCCTGTTCACTCCATTCTCTGTTGACGATGCTCAATCTTAATGCTTGAACTTTTTCTTTATCATTATCAAATTTCATTAATGTGAGGTTTAAGATTTTGAGCTCCTCATCATTTCCTTATATTCAAGCAGCTTGTCTAAATTTTGCAGTTTAGCCATGAAATGCAAGTGCTGGCGACACATAAAAAAGGTGTTACATGTCTTACGGGCTTTATGGTTTCACAATCTGTTGCAATGTTTGCTTCCACTTCATCGGATGGCGTTGTTCATGTATGGGAACTTGTCTTCCCATCTAGTAATGATGGTAAGTTAATCCATGCGATTATTATTTTTTTGATCTGACTATAATTATGTTTTCTGTGACATGAAGCATGTCGGAGCTAAACATGAATAATGTTATAACTTGTGAATTGTAAACTTCCTAGCGGCATTCAGAAATTGGAATTGCAATTGGCACAATATCAAATACTTTTAATTTTTGCCATCTTTTCTTAAGTATCATAGAAATAGTGTAATTTAACTTCATTTTACCGTGGAGTTGTGTGCGCAAGTTTTTTTGAAACATAAAAATTTTATTGTAATTTTTTGCTTCTAGAGGTAGACGAGATTTCCTTTATTTTCAGTTAAAAGTTAAGTGCTGATACTTCAATGTGGGCACGAGGTATTGGATATGGAAATTGTCCAATATCTTGGTACAAGGACATGACCATATATCTATATTTATTTTGAATCTATGTAAATATAACCCCTACATCTATATTTAAGTTTTTGTTCACATATGAAAGGTCCTAAATTTAGTTAATGTTTGACTAAACACTTGCCTCAAGGTGACTAATGGTTCACTCATTTATAAGTTATCGACATTTATCAGTTCTTTTGTATATACATTCTGTCAATTCTATTTATTCTTCTAACTCGTAAGGCATATATCTTTTATGGATATACATCTTTTGAATATCAAATTTGTATTTTGTTTGTTATAGGTAAATGTAGAATTTCATGCTTGGAGTCCTTGCATGTGGGTTCAAAACCTATGGTTGCATTATCGTTAGCAAGATTACCTGGAGATGCTGGGCATTTAGTTCTGGCAACCGGAGGCTTAGATCATAAGGTGCATCTGTACTGTGGCGATTCAACTGGGAAGGTTTGTAAACTGCACTGTGATTCCACACTCAGATTTGATTATCTAATCATAATTTCCTTGATGGCACAAATTATATTGTTTTTGCAGTTTTTTCATGCTTGTGAGCTAAAAGGGCATACTGATTGGATTCGAAGTTTGGACTTCTCTTTACCCATTTGTGTAGATAATGGAGAGAAAAGACTTTTCCTTGTAAGCTCATCTCAGGACAAAAGCATCCGCATATGGAAGATGTCCTTGCATGTTTCTACTGACAACTCAGATGTCTCATACATGAAAGAAGATATCCTGGCATCTTATATTGAAGGCCCAGTACTTCGGGCTGGCTCTAGCTCTTACCAGGTGTCTCTAGAATCTCTTCTTGTTGGACACGAAGACTGGGTATATTCTGTGGAATGGCAACCTCCTCCTCATTCATTAGATGATGAGTATCAGCAGCCTATGAGCATCTTATCTGCATCGATGGACAAGACTATGATGATCTGGAGACCGGAGAGAACTACTGGAATCTGGGTTAACATGGTGACAGTTGGTGAACTAAGTCATACTGCATTGGGTTTTTATGGTGGTCATTGGGCCCCAGATGGCAAGTCGATTCTTGCTCATGGATATGGAGGGTCTTTTCATCTGTGGAGAAATACTGGAGTGGATTATGAAAATTGGCAGCCACAGAAAGTCCCATGTGGTCATTTTGCTTCTGTATCTGATATTGCTTGGTCCAAATCTGGTGAATATTTATTATCTGTTAGTCATGATCAGGTTAGTATTTCATTCATGTTATGTGCATCTACGATTTACTTCTTCAGTGTTCACGATAAAGGTTGCCTCATTGTTAGATTTTCCAAGTGATTTTGGAAAGCTGTAAAGCCAATCTTATGTTAGTCTCGTGGAAAGGATTCAGAAGAATGAGAATGTTGAGATGCATGACTGAATCTGGTGAGAGATAGGGACAAGAGTAAGTGCATCCGTAAAATGTTTTAGACTGTTCCTATTTAATGACACAGACTATAACCAATTGAGATGGGTTTGGACATGTGTAATGAAGATCAATTAGCACATCCTCAAGAGAGGTTAGATGATCGTATTGAATGGAGCAACAAGCACTAAATGTAGGCCTATATGTGAATGTTGGCACTTTAAAAGAATATGATAGCTGTTGTTAATCTGATCAAGAAAATGGCCCTTAATAGTTAAATGTAAGAAGTAAAAACAGGTTCATATAGTGGCCATTAAACATCTGGGATGATTGCTTTGTTGTTGTAGGCATACATGTTTGCGTGTCAAAGTAATGTTTTCCTTTTAACATGTAGGACCACCATATATTCTACTCTTTGTGACTTGACATTTTTTTTCCTTTCAATTTGTCCTAAACTGTCAGTTTACAATCTAGTAGAATTATTTAGTACAGACATGTTATGCGCATGTGAAATTTTCTGTATCTGAACTGCATCTTTGTTAAACCTTCTACCTGCCTCGGTTTAGGATAAGACTGCTTTATCAGGTGATTCATTAACAATTTGATAATACCTTTGAGACAATATAACATAACAAGGGTCAGTTTTTCTTGAAAAATATTTCTATCAATCGAGTTATCTTTTGTTGCATATAGCTAGGTATATTGCAGCTATTCAAATCAAATTTTGAACTTTGTTTTGGTAAGCCAGAGTGCACACAGTAATCATAATTAATATATCTTATGCTGTGATGAATTGGTCAAATGTTTTATTACCTTGTTAGCTAATGTTCTGCATTTGTTCTTTGGATGGTCATGCTACGGCCAGGTTGGTCCTTAATGTCTAAAAGGTCAATTTGTCTAAATCAAAGCTCTGTGATTATCATCATTTGCAGACTTCTCGTATTTTTGCACCATGGAAAAATGAAGCATGCCCTGAGGATGAAACTTCTTGGCATGAAATTGCTCGTCCACAAGTTCATGGGCATGATATTAATTGTGTTACCGTGATATATGGGAGTGGAAACCACAGGTTTGTTAGTGGAGCTGATGAAAAAGTTGCTAGAGTATTCGAAGCTCCTTCATCATTCTTGAAGACACTCAAGCATGCTGTTGTCCAGAAATTAGGCTACAGCGAGGATATTCAAGAAGATGTCCTGATCCTGGGTGCAAATATGTCTGCGCTCGGTCTTTCTCAGAAACCCATATATGTCCATGGTAGTTTTCTCTCTCCCTCCCTTTCTCTCCCTCCCCTTTGCAGTAAACAACTAAATTAAGACTGCTCCCGTTGAGTGCAATGAGGCTTTTTGCTGAACTAAATAGATTGCTGTGAATTAATATGTTGAAACTCCTCTTAATAGTGAAGATTGAAATAGCAATATTTGTTATGATGGTTGTACATTCATTTAGTCAAAGTTACTTCTCTGGAGTAGTTGTAAGGTCTGCTGTTGTTGCTGTTGATAGATAGTGGGTTCTTCTACATATCTTTCCTTGTCTGTCCAAATGTAGTAAATCTCAAGGTCACACAACCAGTTTTGCTTAATATAGTACTGGTGTTCTGGTTGCTTTAGTGTTTCTTAAGCCTGATCACCTGAAGCATCGCCCTTAGTCTGCTTACTCTGCTGGTCTTGAGTTGTCTATTCACATGCTTATCTTGTGAATACTCATTTTGTTCATCCATATAGGAAATGAAAGCCAGGTCAGTGGAGTAGCAGCATGGAAATAACACGATAATAAATGGTAGGGTTACTAGGTTTGATTATTGGGCTTGACTAGGAGACAGCCAACATGACCAGGTCAAAATTACACTGGGTTTTTGAAGCTCATGAAAAGCACAAGTTTTTGATGTCCTGAACCCTGCCAGTTCTCTTGTTTGACAGGCCTGTTCATAATCTATCCTCATTTGCACGTATATTCTGCATATATTTTTAGGAAAAACTAAATGAAAATATCGATGCTTTGCAATTTTCTAGCATCATTCCATTCATTTATTTCTTACGGAGTTTTTTAAGTCTATAGTATTAAATGTACTTATATATGCAAGGAATATATAAAATTAACATATGTTTACTTCAAAATTTCACTGGGGATAGCATCCTGAAAAGGAGAAACTTCAAGTTATGTATAAGGCTAAAAAATTGAAGATATTTATTGTAGAAAAGCTCCGTATGATTTCTTTTTGGGTGCAATTTGTCCATGAGCGTTGGGTATCAATTCCTCAGAAAATAAGCGGTATGGTCTGGAGATAACTCTTCAAAGCATTCACTTTTTGTTTGCAGGTTTGTCTATAATATTCTATCTGCTGAATACATATGTTGGGTAGTTCTTCATCCTGCTGTTCTTTTTTTTGGGGTACTTTAGTCTATAAGAGTTTATTTAGGTGTTTGTAATATGTATTTCAGTGACAACTTGGTTTTCTTGCTCTTCACCTTGGAACATCCGGTGTTTCGACATTTCTGCCAGCCTGTATATTTTTATGTGCAGAGTGGATAGACTTGTCAACGGACTGCTTAATCTTGTGACCTTACGGGCCTGGGCAATTGTTTTTAAGGGACTTCACCTACGAATACTAGAATTGAAGGAGCCCAGCCAAAGATTGACTCATACTTTCTTCAAAAACGTAGTACTTTTAGCCTGCCACTGATTTATATAGTTCCAGTATAAGTGAAAACAACAAGTTTAGGATGTTAAATGTGAACGTTGTTTGTGGCCTTTGGCAGGATGACAGCTATCTTTAGCTTGAGCTGTTGTAGGGCTCAGCTCAAGCCGTCTATCACCCTTTCAGATCTAAATATTGTCATCGTGCTAGTCTGTTTATGAACATCTGCACTGATAAAAACTATGGTTACACTCTGTCCTATGGTCCTAAAATTTCTCTTTGGATAATTTTGTAATGAATTCTTTTCGTACACGTGCAGCTGAAGCTGCAACCAGGCCCGATGATAATGCCCTGGACTCTATGGAAACAATTCCAGATGCAGTGCCCACAGTTTTGACACAGCCTCCTGTTGAGGAACAGTTGGCATGGCACACACTGTGGCCTGAATCACACAAGCTTTATGGTCACGGGAATGAGCTATTTTCTGTCTGTTGTGACCATGCAGGCAAGCTTGTAGCCTCTTCATGCAAGGTAGAATTTGTTTTCATTTGTTCACTTTTGTGTAGTATTAAGTTCTTGTTCCCTTTGTACCATGCATGTGCATAATCGATTAGTTATCTTGATGATTTGTCCGTATACCTATCAAGTTTTTAGTATTAAATGTAAAGGATTAAGAAGTGCTACGGATCTGCTGTTTGCTCTCTGTGTGATTTCATGCTTGTGGATGAGTTAACCTGTGGCAGTTCTATTGTTAATGAGGGATGCGCATATATATAGCATTGTTTATTCTGTTAATGTGCTTTCTTCCTGTTTTAATTTGACATACAAACCTTGCGTTCATTAATAAATAAAATAAAAATGGTTAAAGGATAAGTTCTTTTGTAGTGCTTCCTAATCATTGGGTAATTATAATGTTGAAGGGTAAATTTTCTAGAACGTCGTTTTGGATAATAACACAGAAGGATATAGGAAAAAACAAAGAGCGAAGCATGAGGTAGTGAAAAAAGATATGTTGGTGGCTAATTTAACAAAGGAGGCAGTGTGAATGGTTTTTAATGGAGAAGAAAATTTCATGTAGCCGAGTTAAACAGTATCAATAAAGGCTTGTCTGTTGTTTCGCTTTAGGTCCTCTACTTTCTTAGATGACTCCATAAATTACATGCGTGATATCGTCAGGTTTATCGTTTGTGAGTGATCCATTCAATGATGAGAACAATATGATTGCAGTTGTGAATTGTCTAAAACTCTTTATTTGACTTTCATGAATTCTATTTAACAGGCACAATCAACCTCAGTTGCAGAAATTTGGCTATGGCAAGTTGGATCATGGAAAGCAGTTGGTTGTTTGCAATGCCATAGTTTGACAGTGACACAATTAGAATTTTCCCGTGATGATTCATTCCTGCTTGGCTGTCTCAAAGAGATTCGTCAATTCTCACTGTTTTCAATACTAAAATCTGGTAACCTTCACAGTACTAATTCCATACTTTAATAGCTTCAATGGCGGCCGCTGTTCTTGCAGCACCACATAATTTAATAATTTTTGAATTACTTGACTATCACCGTGTTGAAACCTTTTGAAATGAATGTTTTCAAGCATGTTGATAGAAATTTCGATTTATGAACAATTAAATGTCTGCACATGTGCAATGTAGGCACATATGAGATTGTGTGTGTGTTTGTCGTGAAGCACATTACAACCTACTCCAATTGCTAACATGCTTGGTTATTTTAGTTTAGTGAAAAAAATGATTTGTAGTTTTATGTGAAAGATACCATAATTCATCGTAGGTTTATGAAACTCACCTTTATTTATTAGCGGTTATCAAGAATTTAACTTTAAAGATATAACAAAGTGGCTATAGCAATTGAACATGGACTCTAATTTTATTTTATTTAACGTATCATTTACATGATAATGTGATGTATGATCTCTGTCCATACTGACCTTAATTGTTCTCCGTATAACATCAGGAGATGAAGTAAGCTATCAGTTGATTGCAAAGCATGAGGCACACAAGAGAATAATATGGGCATGCTCATGGAACCCCTTTGCTCATCAATTTGCTACTGGTTCCCGGGACAAAACTGTCAAATTGTGGACTGTTGAAGGAACTTCTACCATCAAGCAGCTTGCTACCTTGCCTACTTTTAAAGATAGTATCACTGCACTATCCTGGGCTGGGCTTGACCGATCTCTCAACACTGGAATTCTGGCTGTTGGCATGGACAGTGGACTTGTAGAGCTTTGGCGACTCTCAGGTGGAATTGCTAATGAAGGGTTTGATGCTGTGATTGCTGTGAAGTTTGATCCTTTATTGTGCCATGTTTCGACTGTGAATCGATTGGCTTGGAGGAATCATGATGATTCTGATGAATCAAGGAGCTTAGAGCTTGCATCTTGTGGGGCTGATCATTGTGTTAGGGTGTTCAAAGTGCCGTATTGATTTTATTGAAACAATTTCATTTTATGTGATTGAACTTGGAATGAAATTTATGGAAAATTTTTGTGATGCATGTCTTGTAATTTAGTTTTATTTATTGGTTTTGTGAGTATCTGTAATATTGTTCTTTGTTAGTTTGTGGAAGAAGATAATTTTTTTTTGTTTTTTTTTGTATTGTGGAAATGTTTTACTTGGTAGCCATTGTCATTATCTAAAAGAAATTTGTTTTTTATTAATTTTATTTTTGACAAAAAAATCCATTTCGTAAGGTAATATAGTCTGATATTAAAAGCAGGATTTAAAAAAGGTACAGCTTAGTTTGTGGATATATATAAGAAACACTTTTCCTCCTTAAAAACCACCTTTAAAATAGGATCATCCCATAGAAACCATTTTTAATTGTTAACGTGAAATTACCTTAAGTAGCTTTTTCGTTATAATTATGAATTCACACTCATTTTTTAAGTTAAGATTTTTTTATTACTTTGCTATAATAATTAATTGTTAAATATCAAGTATATTAGAGATTGTTAAATATCAAGTATATTAGAGTGATGATAGTGGGGAACTATAAGAAATACTCTAATATTAACTCCACGTTCGAATTAATGTCCAGGTTATTGCTAACTATACTAAGCTGTATCGCAATTTAAATAAGTAGGATCCCACCATTTTGTATTTTACACAATTGTGTTATAGTATGGGTCGTACGGAATTTTAAGCATGGTTAGCATTAGTCATCCAATAAACTTTCTTTTTTATGAGGTAGAAAAAGTATATAAAACGTTAAAAACATTCAATAGTTAGCTAGTAATAAAGTACACCTTTTAAAACATCCCAAAGGTTAAATTGTTTTTCATATAAGAGGCTACAACTTTTGGAATAAAGTTGTAGTCTCATGGATCTTAAAGGTGACATCCAAATAAAATACGTTTTTCAAAAGTTTTGAACTGGCCTCATAAACAGACATCAAGCGTCTAATCTAATAAACAAAGGTCTAAACAAGCAACTTATGTTCCTTAAAAAGAAAAGGCAATTTCTGTTACCTTTAAAAATTCAATCATTCATAAAATAACTCGAATTTTCACCATAAAGTACAAAAATCCAAATACGATATCTTTTCCATTAAGATTACAAGCATTCACATAGTAGCTCAGTTCTCCAAATATCAATCACAGCGAACAATCTAAGATATTAAGTACAAATGAAATAAGAAGCAATCAAAAAACAAAGAATAGAGAATAGAACGCCTCAATTTCAACATCGACCAACATTTTTCTCATCTACTGCCACTACTGGAACGGTAGCTGGCTCCCCATCATCATCAAGATGAAGCTGAGCATACTCATTCACCATCCCCGTCCTCTGCTTCGAAATTATCTCCTTCTTCTCCTCCTCAGCCTTCTCCACCTTCTCCTTCGTCATGGACCCTACATCCCCCGCGGCCTTTGCAAATCTTGTAAATGCCGAAGAAACCCAAGAAGCCCCAGACGAAACATAGGGATTGGTCATAATCGCAGAGCTCGCACTGCTCGCCTTTTGCTCAGCAGCAGCAAAAGCTGATCGAGTGATTTGTGATACTTGGAATTTTTCGTCAACCTCTTTGATTTTTTCATTTACGACGGTTGTGCCTATGGTGATTTTCTCGCTTAGTCCTATGCGGCGGTCCAGGTTGGCCACGGTGGCAGCGGCGTTGGATGTGAGGTTGTGATGTTCGTCGAAGGATTTGGCACGCATAAGAGCGTCCTTTCCGAGGACGAAGCCCTTGGCAAGCATGCTGCTCATCATGTCCTCGGCTTTCTTGACAGCAGAGTCAGAAGCGGAGGGCTGGTACAAAAATAGTAAGCATCAGAGTACAATTATACACACCATGGAGTTTCTTAAAAGGAGGGGGAAAAAGTACACTTGTAGAATTTGATAGGTTGAGCAGAGCATAAAGCTCAGTTTGATGTAAGCATCATACTAGGTTATAGCAAAGTGCTGCTCGCGGTGAAATAAATGGAAACTGAAAAGATTAACATAAGTACTAAGAAATAAATGGAAACTGAAAAGATTAACATAAGTACTAAGAAATAAATGGAAACTGAAAAGATTAACATAAGTACTAAGAAATAAATGGAAACTGAAAAGATTAACATAAGTACTAAGAAATAAATGGAAACTGAAAAGATTAACATAAGTACTAAGAAATAAATGGAAACTGAAAAGATTAACATAAGTACTAAGAAATAAATGGAAACTGAAAAGATTAACATAAGTACTAAGAAATAAATGGAAACTGAAAAGATTAACATAAGTACTAAGAAATAAATGGAAACTGAAAAGATTAAAATAAATGGAAACTGAAAAGATTAACATAAGTACTAAGAAATAAATGGAAACTGAAAAGATTAACATAAGTACTAAGAAATAAATGGAAACTGAAAAGATTAACATAAGTACTAAGAAATAAATGGAAACTGAAAAGATTAACATAAGTACTAAGAAATAAATGGAAACTGAAAAGATTAACATAAGTACTAAGAAATAAATGGAAACTGAAAAGATTAACATAAGTACTTTATTGCAGAATTGTTTCCTCGTTAATTTCTATTTGCAAATATTGTTTGAACGATGAAAAGTGAAAGATGGAAAATTGATGTGGTAAAGGATGATGTTTACTTTCTGTGTCCTGCTTTGTTGACTTGAAAAGCGGACAGAGAAATGAGCAGTCGAAAGTGAAATGTAAGAATAGAAAACAAAACATTAATTTCTCCCTATTCTTCATCCACTTTTCTCAAAACTTTGTAGATAGTGAATTCGGTTAAAAGCTAATGTGACAGCATCCAGTCCAATTACTTTCCACATTTTTCCAATTACCAAACTGGAAAAACATAGAAACTGAAGTCACTTTCCAATTTAAGGTCCGTCCACCTTCCCTTTATTTTTCAGTCACCAAACTCCTCCTTAAGGGAAAAAGGAAGAATCTTGATTATGCATCTGATTTACTGAATAGATCGTAAAGCTCAGCGCGATGTTTGATAAACGTAGTTTAAGCATGATAGGGTTTCAGATTCCACCAAACAGAATAATTTTAATTTACTATACAAAAGCAACTTTTCTAAGCATTCAAACATAACTTCAATTGACAAATTCCTGTGAGAAAAAGCAAGATTTTTCAGCATATGTTATGACGTTATTGCTATATACCAAGATGATTTAACAAAGATGATAGATATTTTCTTTAGAATTTAATTAAAGTTAAATAATCTCATTTTTGGATACAAACTTGTACGTTGTGTCCATATAGCCAACACATGCTTGAAGTGAGAAATATTTGAACTTGTCATTTCAAATAATTTAGACCTGTTTGCCACTTACTCTACTTTTCTGTCAGCTTTTTGAGCACAATGTGGCCTTTCAAATTATTGCTTGAATCAATTTCTAACCTCTTTTTATTATTCTAGGAATATTGATTAGTCTCGATCAAATCCATTAGGAGATATAAAGCGAGAAGGAAATACAATAAAAAGAGACTTGAACATGATCTAAGGGAATCCAATTGATGTAGATTTTATTGGATCACAATTCACAATTTGTTTCGACTAACTTATTTAGTTTAGCTATTCGCTGGTTTTAATTGGATCTTTTAGGATTGAGATTCGTTTAATTTGTTACGCAACTTTGATTAGCTTTTTTTGTTAATGACTTGAAATTAATTTAAATGTGATTTAGCTAGTTATATTCTGTTACTTCATTGGATTGTTATGATTAGATTTAGATAACTTTTTCATTTATTTGACCAACGAAACTTATAGATGCGGCTCTTAAGAATTGAAGTTAACTATTCATAGAATTTCAATGGTTTGAATTATTCGTTTGAAAAGGTTGAGCCCTTATTAATCATAATTCCTTGTTTCTTCTCCTTTAGCTTTCATCAGCTTGGGCTGAAACGGCAGTCTGGTGTCTCGAGGTGAGTAGAGGTCATGCGTGGGGTTAGGTGAGCTTCACTTAAAAAGAATAATAAATGAATCACCACAAATAATGGGAGGTCCAATGTGAACAAATTTGTGTTCGTTAGTCTTCACATTTTAAATAAAAACCAGGTTTCATTTAAGAAGTGGCTAACATATTGCTGCTGGGATCCGTCAGCAATTGGTATTAACCAATGATATTGACATATATTCATTCAAGTATTTTATATCATGATAATGATCTTTACCTCAGTACTGCAAGCTCCTGGTGGAAGCTGGTAATTCTCTTCTATCATCACAACCACAGGCAGATCAACTATAGTTGCCCCCTTTGTATACATCCATCTAATATGAGGAACCGAAAAACTTCCATGACATGTAAACAAAATGATTCTGAACCAAAAGATAAAAGCATAAAGCAAGGCTTTTTCTACGTTAGAAAAACTAGCTTTATGCTTTTATCTTTTGGCTCAGTATCATTTTTGTTTACAAGTAAGAAAACTTAAGCTTACCGTGAGTAGTGCTGCTGTCTCAGCTCCCTGTAAATCCTTAAAGGTGACATACGCAACCTGAGAATTTTCAGATTCACTACAGGAAGTGAAATGTAAGATTCGTAAGAATTGTTTCCAATTGATCAGTAACACTGAAGAATATGATTAAAAAACTAACCTTTGCATTTCCACGTAAACTATCTCGCCTGAAAATGAGAAGAATTCCCTAATATCCTGCTTAGATGCAGACAGGGAAACATTGCTAACTTTTACTGTTTTTACCTGCAACAGTAAATATAATTTATTGGGATAGCCTTGTATCAACAATTAGAGATTGAGAAGTGAGAACCAAGAATTTTGTCAGTATTGGAGAAAGACAGAGAAGAGATATAAGACTATAAATTATCAACTGAAGCTCGTGTAGTATACATCTATAATTAGCAGAGACTAACATGACTATACACAGTGGTCCAAGTGTCTTTCAGCAACAAAAATTTACTCCCGATTCATATGCTACTGCTGACAATGATGATTGCAGGAACAGAGAAAACACTGATATGGAGGAAGAGTGATGCTTATTTATGGCTCATCAGCCTAGAATTTTTTGATTTTATCCATTCAGACAGAAGTTGCCTTGGCTATCAATTTTGGGATATTTTGTTTTTAGGCTGGGTATTCGTAGCTAGGAACAACCATAACCATTGTTTTCATTTATGTACTTTTCGTTAGACTCTGAGACATTGTCTTCGTGGCTTCAAATGTTCTATTGGACTCTAATTGATGAAATGTGGGGGTTTATACTCACCATTATTCTTAAAAAAAGACATTTTGACAACCAAACCTAGAAATTGAACCTTATTTCAATATTATCCAATCACATTCCAAGCACATTCCCAATTTTGTCGATTTAAAAAACGATTGATCACTTCCAGCTCACAATTAAACAGAGAGTACAGCGAAAACCCCCCAAAATAAAGAGCATAAATTCCAATGCGCATTGCCGTAAGATCACGGGATCTAACTACGACATCAACAATCTCCAATCACCAAATCAAACACAGATCTAATTCTAAAAACAAACATGAGATCAAATAAACCTAGAAATTGTGATGCCAAACCCCAGATCTAGACATCTAAAATGCAAAAGATCTCTAGATTGAGCTCAAACTCACCGACATCTGGATGAATCCTGTGCGGATCTGGGAGGAATCGAGAGGCCGATCGATCGAGCGCGGGGAATTCTTGGATTAGGGTTAGTGTTAAAGGGGGTGACTTTTTTATAGTAAATAATAATATACGAGTTGAGAAAATCAAGGATTGGGTTATTTTTAGGGGAAGTGTCGTTATCTTTGTCAACGAATGCCACGTGGGATGAAGTGTTTTCAGCGGGAAGTGCGGTTTTGAAGTGAGAACTTTATTTAGGAAAACTCCTCAGTGACCCCAAAATACGGGACCCCTGAGGGGACATGTGATGTGTCAGCCCCTGGGGCTTGATGCACTGTTCATGAACAGTGGATCAAGCCCCCAGGGACTGACACATCACCTGTCCTCTATTTTGGGGTCCCGCGGCCGATTTACTGTTCATGAACAGTAAATCGGCCCCCCAGGGGCTGACACCTCACCTGTCCCCTCAGGGATCCCCTATTTTGGGTCCCTGTAACACTACTCATTTATTTATGGATAGGGGCTGTTTGGTTGTTTTTTTGAAACTTTGAGGATTTCTAACACAAATTGGAATGCGTGATTCATGCCACCACTTTTAAAATGATCCTTTTTTTAATTTAGTTTAGCTTTTCAATTAGTTATGTCTAAAATCCTATTAAAACAACCAATGAGTTTTACAGCAAACTATCTGCTTTCATCGACGGTCTACTTAAGGAACTAATTCTCAGGAACGACAATCTTGAGGAACATAGAAAAGTATCAGGTGGGGAGTCCTCACCACATACGTTGATGACGTGGTGCTCCCTACTAATAAAAAAACAACAGCATCACGTTCTCATCACGTGCTGATTCTAGAAAAGAACAACGAGAGGGGGATTGAATCTATTTAATAAGTTCTCTTTAGCCTCGCATGCTTCAACTTCCATCAGATCCATATTTATTCCTTAGTTTCCTCATTGCCCTTCCGGATCGCCTCTCCACTTCAAGCCACTCGCCGGCTAACTCTCCTCATCTGTCTCTCCATCCCGTGTTAATTTTTTCGGCCTCTTCATCCTATGTCATTGGACGACATCGATGATGATGTCGTAGGCAGCAGAAGGAGGAGATTCTTAAGGGCGAGGTGGTAGTCGATGGAGACTAGTGTTGGGATTTTTTAGGACGCATAAGAGCCTCGAAAACAACCAAATGCAGCAAATAGAATCACACAAAATATTTAATGTGGAAAACTCTCAACAGAAAAAATCACATGAACGAAAATAATCCACTATCATCACCAAATTATAATCTTTTGTACAGACAAAGACTGAGAAACCCTCTCTCTCACAATACCCTTGAACTCGGTTACACCCTTTGTTAACTTTGATTACAAAAATACTATATCTCTCTCTACTAAAAAAATCCTAGAATAAGACACATTGTTTAAAGACACCACTGACTTGTCTAACAAGTTAGTTTGGTCTCTAAGAAAACTATTAATATTGTTCCCAGCTTTCAAATCCTGATCCAACTTAGAGTTTGAGCCAGTACCTAACATATCCTCTCTCGATAAAAAATCTTCAAGTATCTCAACAGCTTCAAAAAATTCATTCTCTTCTTCTTATTCTTCACCTCTCTCTTGTGGATAAGAGTGTGAAAAGAGTCATCTACACTATTCACAGAATACACATCTAAATAGCAAATATGGTTGTTATTCTTCCTCCCTCGTAAAATCAAATCACAATCTCTATACACTTTGCACCACTCTACTTCACCCACATACTTGTACCCACGAGATATCATCTCACCCAACGGAATTAAATTTTTACCACATGGTGGCACATATCTCACATGATGAAGAATTTTGACCTACCAAGTGTGAAGCATGAGGCGAACACTTCCAACACCTTCAACCTTTGTCTTCTCGTTGTTTCTAATGATCACGTCACCAAATTCTTCATCCAGCTTTAATGTGTCAAAATACTCTTTGTTATTTCAAACATGCATAGAGTCTATAGAATCTAACATCTAAGTATTACTCACATCACTATCTAGTACTCTCCATCATCAACACCGCATCTTCATCACACATAATTGCCTATGACTCCTTCTTCCTATTTTCTTAAATCTTCATCTGCCTAATCCTCTTCAAATCATCTCGCATTTGGGAACATTTAAACTGAATATGATCTTTCTTTCCATAATAGTAGCAATCTCTTTCACTATTCTCTCGGCCTGAGATTTTGACCTTTCTCGATAATTATCACATCTCTCCTTACTCCTCCATCGAATAGAACCTTCAAAAGCTAATGCACACTCACCACCATTAGATGTGCTCTTCTTTCACATTATTCTTTTATTCTCGTGTAGGAGTGTTGTCACATCATTTAATTTTAAAGTTTGCATCCCCGTAATTATCATCTGAACCAACGGCTTGTATGACTTCTGTACGAAAGATAGTAGGAGTAGCACATGTTCTTTTTCTTTAATCTCTTCATCAATATTTATAAGTTGGCACACTATCTAATTAGTTCGAATTTGTGATGATAAAAGATCAGAATCACAGAAGGATATTTGGAATTAAAGACATTGATATGGTCTTGAATAGCAGTATTTTTTATCTTCAATGAATAAAGCTCATTTCTCAAACACAATCGGTTGGTCATCGACTTTAAATATAAATCCCCTCAAGGTTACCCCACAACCCCTTTGGCGTGGTCTCTTGCATAACATTATACTTGATCTGGGTGAGTACCAAACAAATTGTGCTTTCGGCCTTTTTTTGCATGGAACTTTATTCACCATCCTTTAGCCCTTCCCGTTTTTCTCCTCCAAGGCTTGATCAACACCTTGTTACAATAAAAGATGTACTGTATATTGCCATATTATAAAATTTATCATATTGTAAAATAGCAGAATATCAAACTTCAGACCAAAAGATGCCATTATCCTTCAACCATATCCAAATTCAAATTAGTCACTCTAGAAGTTGAATTTGGTAGAATCGACATTAAGAACAAACTCAACACGTCAAAAAAACCTAGGAACGACTCCTAGATCATTGAATTTTTCCTCCAATTCCCTTATCAGAAGACAAATCAATTTGCACTGTCGGATTTAATTTTAAAAATATTTTTTAACCAAACCATGCTCACCCACATAAACAACCTCTTTTCTCACCGTCTTGCTATAGTAACCTTCATGTTTTTATGTGTTGTTCACTGTTGACATGATTCATCTCCTACAAGCCCTTCACACAAACAGAGAACAATGAACACAACTCTTGGCACGACTTCCGTCGTCTACCGTTCGTCTACTGTGTCAATGTCAATCCCCACGCCGTTGATCTCCAATGCCTCACCAATCGCACACCAATTGAACCGTCATGAATCGTCGAACCCCACTCTGATACCACGTGTTGGGATTTTTTGGAACTCAAAAGAGTCTTGAAAATCATCAAATGAACCAGTTAGAATCACACATAAGATTTAACGTAGAAAACTCTCAATAGAACAAAAACCACGGGATCGAAAATAATCCATTATCACCACCAGATTATAATCTTTTACATGGATAAAGACTGAGAAACCCTCTCTCTCACAATACCCTTAAACCTTGTTACACCCTTTATTATACTCTGATTATAAGAATATTGTATCTCTCTACTAAAAAATCCTAGAATAGAACGCCTTGTTTAAAAACAACCCCAACTTATCTGTCAAGTTGGCCTCTAAGAAAACTACTAGGTCTGGGCCTAACCTCCAAATCTAGATTCAACTTGGAGTTCGAATCTTCACCAAACAACTAGGAAGGTTGAGGACGGACTCAGAGCTGAAGAGGACAAAGCCACTGCCATGATGATGAAAGCCTCTCATTGTTTTCTTGGGTATAATCAGTTGTAAATGTAATTGGGTTTGATCTCAATAAATATGATGATGTTGGTTTTTTCAGATTCGAGTTCATTCTCCTTCTAATGATCAGAAGATGGCCGGTACTTGTTCATCCTCTCCCTGATGATGCCACTTATAAGAGAGTTTGCCCAGGAATTGTTTGTAAAGTCTATGGAAGCATCAGAGTGAAAATCCATATTGTAAATATTGTGATTATTTATTTAATCAATGCCTATTTTAAATTTTTAGAGATGACGAAAAATTTTTATGTGAACCATGTTCCTTCTAACTCCCTTTGTTTACGTACTTGAAAGAATGTAACTCACACTCAATTTTTTGTATGTGAACTTATATATCAAAGGATGATGAATGTGATTTGTATGTGAATGTGAACTGGAGGTATATATTTACTTTTCGAAGTTGTGACTGAATTCTGGAGGTAGATAAATTTCAATGGCATGGGGCTAAATTGAAGAAAACACTTTTGATCTGCAAGCCAAGTGAGTTGCATTAGCTTGTAGAAACAGCGAAAACAGTTGAGAAGAACAGGAAAAACAACGCATGAATTATTTTTGGTGTTGTTCGGTCGACCGCGAGACAAGTAGCGGTCGACTGGAAACTTGCACGACTTGGTACATGTTCTGGATTTTTGGTCGGTCAACCGCGACAATTCGGCGATCGACCGCCAAACCCTGTAATCGATTTTTGGTTTATGTCTTTCTAGTCGGTCGACCTTGACGATTTCAGCAGTCGACTGCTAATCGGGTTTGGGCCTGTTTTTAGTTTTATGTTCTAATTTGGTTTGTGTTTTGATATATATTGAAACACGTTTTTTAGGGTAGAGCAAGGTTGAAAAGGGATTATTTGGTGCACAGAAAAGAGAGTTTTCTGAGCAATTTGTTTGGGATTAGTGTGAGAGATTTGAGAGCTTTGTTTGAGAGATTTTGAGTGATTTTGTAATCTCTATTTGTACTCTCTTCTCTATTAGTGAAAACTCATCCCTTTCTTGCCCCGTGGACGTAGGCAACTTGTCGAACCACGTAAAATTCGTTATTTGTGTGCGTGCTGTTAATTTTGTGTTTGTGTGACCTTCTCTCTCGGCGATTTCGTGTTTCCTCGGACCCCCAAAAGGAGGCTTCAGAGGCCAACAAGTGGTATCAGAGTACCAGGCTACGCTTGGGTTAGGTGGAGGAGTAAATCGCTTTGGAAGCTCGTCTAAGGTTTCAATTGGAGACAAATGTGGGTTTTTTACTATTATGGATATTCTCTTCCGTCGTGTGAGGGTGGGATCTTTTGGAGGCTCTTGTTAGGGTTTCAATTG